TCTACACAGGTTAAATCGAATCTGCAAACCTAAATACCATAGTGGTTTGCGTGTCGTATTGCAATGAGACATTTGCTAAAATTAGATTTGAGTTTGATTTTCTACAGCTGTTAGATTCTACCATATATTAGATGAAACAGGAGACACATGCTTACTGTATGTCAGGGACAGTCCATCTTCAGCCTTTACAAGTCTTTCACATTAACATCTCTGGAAAGTAAGAAATGAATGCGTGCAACTTTTCAGCAGTCTGAACAGCACTTATTACTCTCCGAGAGGTGAGACCTATTGAGGTTAGAAAATTTGATACACACTGATAAGTCATCTTGCTCAGCAGCACTTATGCACTGTTACAGCTTTTCCTTTGTGCCCTTAAAATATAAAACAGGATATACAGTGCATTGCAATATTTCTTAGAATCTTTTCATTCTGAGCAACAGTCAAGCTGTCAATAGCATATGCCAAGCAAAAACCTCTCTCAACTCATTGCATACAGAAACAAATAATATGATTGCAGAATGTTCAAGAGCAACATGGAAATAAACGTATACAAATATTTCTCTACTTTTTCAGGTCTACCTAATGTTGTGTGTTATAACTTTGCTGTGAAAGATTTGTATGAAATAAGTGATCACATGTACATAACAATGTAAGTACAGTAGCTAACAGGGTTTCAGCTGTAAAGAAAGTCATATTGCACTACTAATATCATTATGATCACAAAAGACCCCAAGAAATTGAAAAACTGCATTTACAGGTAAGAATTCCTTATCTTCTTTATTCCTAACTTCATTTCTATTATTTCTGAAATGTTGTAACATATGATGGAATTAGTTGTTTCCCTAGAGCACAATACAAATGCTGATATAGCATATGTTTATACAGGATATTCTGTATTATACATGAACATAGATGTGCTCCTTTCATTCTTTCTAAATCTGTAGCCTTTTTCCACAGTTTTCACATGATTATTTCACTTGCTCACTCATAGGGTTCACCTTCACTGTCTTATCAAATGTTTTCAAGAGACCAGGAGATGATATCCACATCTCAAACACCCGGACATCATCTTTATCCGGAAGAATATCAGTAAAGATTAGTTCCTTCTTCACCCAGATAATGAGAAAAGTTGAGCTGCTGACACTAATCCTTGCAACATAGCCTGTTTCTTTGGTATGAAGGATTTAAAGAACACAGTATTCTAATCCCTTAGAATACTATATAACCTATGTAACTAATAGGCTTATGTATGCTGCAGCAATTCTTTCATTTCTTAAAAAAGAAATTTAAGATAGAAATACTGAATCAAGGCTGCCATCACATTCAATTCTGTAACTGTCCAAGTAGCCATTGCAGAGAATCCTTCTACAATATAGAAGTACATCCCTGTGAAATACTTGAGTGAGTGCATGAGGTGAAGAGATCCCTCAAATGCAGTAAAAAGGGATTGCTTATTCTTAAAAGGAGAGCAGTAATGTAAAAAGTCACAAGCATATGGAAAGGTTAACTAGAACCACAGGATTGTGATGTAACAAATGCCAGTTCTCTCAAACACATTTATGGTAGGTATCACATTCATTTTCTTCCTATATTCATAATTCCCATAACGAACAGAACACATGAATAATTATAAAAACAGAAGGAAAGAACTTCTCAGCCATGATGACAAAAATGACGCAGATGTAAGGAGTGCTTTGATTATCAACAGTGTTTGCATGACAGCTTTCATCTTTGAAAGTATTGTTCCATTACTGTCACTCTCCTGTTGGCTCTTTGAAACAAATCACAGCCTGTATATCAAATCATGGGCTTTGAGTTTCTTTTAAACTGCTTGGAAATAGAAAAGTGTTATTATTGTTGTTGTCCCTGCTCATCTGCTTTCTGTGCTCTTAAACACTGGACATCGCAGATCCCGTTCTGTCTTCAGAGATCAGAGATTGATGTCATGTAGCTAAGGTAACAAATTATCATAAACACAGCTTTGAAAACAGTACTTAAAATTTGCAAAGCAAACAATCAATTCAATCCTGTAGTGTGGTTTGACATACATCATAACAAGTGGCTGTAAATGGGACACCTTCAAGTATTAGTGATCACAAAATGTTAGTGTGGTGTCTGCTGAATTTTCTTAGGAGAGCACAAGATATGTTAGTACAGAAGGCACATTAAAATGAAAAGATCCAGAAAGAATATATTGATATATTAAGATTACACTTAAAAAAGGAAATATCAACTGTAAGTGATACTACTTCATTTTATTTGTAAAATAGTGAACCGTAGACTATTTCTCAATGAAGACCACACACTATTATATATACTCTATAAACAACCACAGCTTCTTTTCACTTTGGATTAGTTGTCAAACATTATCTTGAATCTAGACGGAGACATGTCTGGCACTTTCTTAAGAATCAAAAAACCCGGCATCAAGAAGAAAATGCAGAATATCGCAGTATCCATTCATGTGGACAGGGGAAACAGTAATCTCTCTCGGGTTTTGGAGTGACCTGTCACAAGGCTTGGTCATATTGTGAAAGGCTGTCTAGATCCAAACACATAGCAAATAGACTCCAAATATAGGAAGGCCATGATTATATCAGAGTAATTTATCATTCTGGGTATAAGAATGCTATTGGTGGGAACTGGCATGACCCCATTACTGCAAACTGCATAGAAAATTGTATTGCATTGTGTCAAAATCCTTCAGAAATGGCAACAGTAAAAAAAGCATCTCCTAGTAAGAGTGGCTGTCAGAGGAGGCTGTTAGAGCTATGAATCACTTATATCCTGACAGCATGGATACTGCCAAGGTTGCCAGGCTCAATTTATTATAATTCCAGGGTTTGCAGGTTCAGGGTATAGCAATAATTTTGTAATCTTTTTTTCTATATCACCTCTGTTTGTACTGAATACCAATCCATTAAAAGTCAATGGAATAAGTCTGTTTATTGTCCTCCTTACAATTACAAGTATACATGCCACATTGTGTGGGTTTATTAATGATCTCCAGTATCTCACCAGGCCTTTTCGATTTTCACAATTGTAGTCAGAGATTCATATTTTAAAGCAACCATTTTCCAACCAGTAGAATACAGCCCTGCATGTTGGAACTACAGCATGCAATATACAGTACAGTATATACACGCTCCAGAGCTGCTTTTATTTACAACTGGCAATGACTTTTTCTTGTGACTTGCTTGGGTAACAAAAGCCTTAAACACTATTTTGACAAAAAACAGCAGTTAGTCCTAAAGTCAGACTTTGGAACGTATTTCCAGAAAAGAAAATATCAAATTACAAACATGAGGTAGAAAAGGTAGTAGTACTTCCATAGTACTACTTAAACATTAGACAAGGTTGACTATTTAGGGGAAAATGCACAGAAGAATCCATTTTACAAAAGTGTTATTCTTTAAAAAAACCATCCCACGACTGTAAATAAACATTTATCAAATTCAAAGTCTTTTAGACAAATAGTTTATCCTGCTTTATTATTCTCATTTTACATGAATGTGTGATTCTTCAGTATTTGATTTTAAGAACTGTGGTACACTGGCTTTAAACTTACTTGTTTTCTCATAAAAGAAGGAGTGTACAATAGAGTCACATTGTCACATCTAAACAGTAATCGAAAGAGGTTGAGGGTGTTCTCGATGATATCAGAGTCACTCAGACAGTACACCCTCAAACCCACTGAATTCTGCAGACCTTATTTCAATTTATTTTCTGTTTCAAAGGAATATTTTCTTTTGAGAAGCTGACATTGTCTCTTAGCGATGTTTGTGTACCTTGCAAATATATGGAAAAACAGTAATAAAGATTATTTTCGGTGCAGCATTAAAGCACAGTTCTCACGCTCTCAACAGAACTAGAGTTACAGTACCTGCAATACAGAAACCGATTATGGTGTGCAGTATTGGAATAGAAATCATATTACCAATGTTAATTAATATTAACCTCACAAATCTTATGTTTAATTACATGCAGCCATTCAGTATGTTTTCACTGAGTCTTTTAACTGAGGTGAAAATGCTGAATTAAAGTGAAAGCAACTGGCACTATGCAAGTTCTATTGGGTAAACTATGTTATGTTGCACTGGAGCAAGATTCAACTTCAGTAATCTATTAGCAAAGACACAGACTATGAATCAGTGATTCACATTTTTTGTCAAATTCTTGGTGATTTTGAAATATGCTATACCATAGTTGTTTTCTTAACATTTCTCACTGGAGCCCCTGCTAAGATTGAGGTGGGGTTTTTTTGTTTCTCCCTTTTAAAAATGGTGACACACACACACACACATTTCAACCTGACAACCAGACTCCAAAGGAGCCAGTGCTTTTAAGTGTCATCATTTCCACTGTTTCTGCCTATTACAACACTGAACCAGAATATTAATATCCGTCCTCTATGTACTGTAAGAGTTGGAGAAGGGGAATGGGCAATGGTGAAAACTCAACTAGACACATTTACAGTGTGCAAAAGCATGCTGCTTCATTGTGAATTTTTAAATACCCTCTTTTTGATTGTTTTCTTTAGCACAGAACTCATTTATCACGCCCCCAATCTGTTCTAACATAAGTTTTTTTTGATGAGTCACTTTAGCATAGCACAATATATTTAAAACATCACGGGGCATACTTATGTGTCTTATTCAGTTAACTTGAAGGTATTTACAAAAGACTGACCACACCTTGAAATGTAAATGTCTCAGAATACAATACATAAAAAAGACTTTTCTAAATTTTAAAGCAAATATGCACTTTTAGAGAGATTGACTATACCTACAGATACATTTGCTGTTAATTTCTCTTTTACCTAGAAGTGAAAAACTGACAATTGTTATGGATAAACACTAAGCACATAACCATGGAAGATAAACAGAAAGATGGAAGGAAACTAATTTATGCACATAATGGTGAAACTTCATGCACAACATTCAGTCATGTACTTTTCTTTAGCAATCAACACAATACATGTGCAAATTACATCTATTTACATCAAGTGAGAAGACCCTGTTAACTGTCTATGAACAAGCAGGTGTTTTAAGCAGATGGTTATAATTTGGTTTTTGAAACATTGGTAATATACAAAAACCAAGTGGAAAATTAAAAGCTTCTTTATTAATCAATGGATGCTAATACCTTTCCCTCGCAAAAAAGCTATAAAATAAACAGCTGGTGAGAATTTTAAATGAGTAAATCACCATTAACTGATTGATAGATTCAGTGTAGAAATTAATTATTTTTGCAAATCAAGTAGAGTATGAAATTATTTTAAACCTCTATGGTACTGTGTATGCTTCAACATACATTAATTAAGTGCAAACACACATAAAGAAAGAACAGTACAAAAAGGGGGGCATTGTTCATTCTTTCTCTCCACAATATCTTAATTCATCATTATTTTTGCATCACGTGAGATAACTGTCTCCTCTGTCAACATATGCTGCAGACATCGATGAGAAAGTTGTCTTGATGAGAAAGGTGTGATTGGAGCCCAATATGTCCTCCATTTGCTTGAAGTGCTGTATAAGCATATGTATGTTCCCATCTTAAGGACTCAGCACATGAATGATATGGGTTTGTCTGAACAGTTACTTTCTCTATCTATTATTGTAACATGTACAGAAATATTAAGGGACACTATTATGAGTTATATTTTCACTGCAGAGCAATCCTTTGTCCAGTCTTGAAACATGTATGGCTGACATTGACAAAGTCTTTATCTCACAAAGAGTGATCACAGCCAAATTTGTCCTCCTTATAATAGAAAATGCTGTGCATTTAGGGATCATGTGTATTGCGTGATAAATCAGGATAAATAGATACTGTGTGTGAACCCCTGAAAGCTTCTCAATACTTCAGATGAAGTATACTGTACTGTATGTCTAGAGCATATTTGGTACCCCAGGTGCTTACTTAAGATCTCTCCAGCAGTAAAGCTTCCTCTACTCAAGGAGGATGTATTAGGCTGCCATCACACTTGCACATCAGAACCTGCAGTATACAGCACAGTGTACCGGAATCAACTGTGTTTTTGTTCAGAGGTTTAAAAACATATTAGTGAATCTTGGATTTAAAGAATTAATGTTATTGCTCTCCTCAGTCTTTCTCTGCACATTCTAATACTTGTATCTTTATATATATATACAAACAGTGTGAGTATATTTAGAGAGAGGAAGATGTACTGTCAGATAGAGGAGAGGAGGCAAAGATAAACTAATGATTTGAACACAAGACTTTGTGAATCAAACTTCACAACTGAAAGTAATGCTATTCAATCGCCTGTTAAACAGTCTTTATCATTAAAGAAGAAAGATCAACATTTATTATACAGATGAAGAGCTTAATGCCTAGCCAGATCAGACTGAGTTCTACTTCCTATGCCACAAACTACAATATAAAAAAATCTCCTCTTCTCAGGCTGCAGCAGTGAAAGCTATCACAGAAGCTATGCATTTAAAATAGCTATGATTTCGTGTTCTGAAAACCCAGATTTTATGTTTAAGAATTGAGAATGTACCAATTCTAAAATACACTGTTTCTAACATTATCAGACTTCCAAGGCATATTTCACGTATAAATACTGCGTAGAGCCAATATGACATGGTCTAAAACAAGGATGGGGAATTTTAAAATTTAAGATCACAATCTTTAAATGCTGAGGGACAAGCGTGTAGTTCTCTTTTGAAAAAAAGAGATTGCTAACCAAGACAGCACAGAGATTTGCAATCATCGAGCTAGTAAGTTATCATTTATGCATTCACAAAACACGATTCATTATTTGTATTGACCACTGACACTGTTTGATAATCAATACGTGTACTACTTTTGACTTGGTGCATTTTAATTAGTCTGATATACATGAAAATTAGATGAATCCATAGGAAACAGTTGCTTGAAATTGCATTTATGTGCCATTGCACAGTATTAATTCCAGAAATGTTTAATGTTCACAAACCACAAGGAATTGTATTTCATAACTGAAAAAAAGATAATGATGAGATTGTGTAATGAGCACCATTTTATCAAATGGAAAACATTTTGCATCATTCACAAATATAGCACACTAATAATAAAGTGAAGAGAACACAGAGGTTACAAAGTGAATGTTTCCAGAATCACAGGCTTGAACAAAAGACAACATATTTAAGACATGAAGAAGAATACAAGTATATGCTATGAGGTTGTTGTATTTATCATCTAACATTACCATTGAAAATACTTACTCTTAAATATCTTGAGATTTAGAAATAGGTATTTATTCAGTGCTGAAGAACAATCTCTCTAAGAAATGCAGAGTATCATATACTTACCACTGATGTAGAGCGATAGCTTTAAGTTGTTTTTCTCAAAAAATTCTGCCCAAATAATTCTATTAATAGCTTTCTCACCCCCTGGAAATACCTTTTTGTGCAGGGATTTCAGTTGTCTAGTTACAGTATTTAGGATCAAGTCTTGGCAAGGGAGGTTTTGAATAAACCAGGACTTCTTGTTGGTTCTAATCTGAATGTAAATGACAACAACTGCACTCCAAGAGTCTGCGATGATTATATAGTAGTATTGCACATGTGATAACCAAACTTTTATTAGAAATCTTATCTTCCACTGACGTTTTCACAGCTGGATCAAATCAAGATGCAGATTCTACATAGCAATGTTGGCTCTGTTTTAAACCATAAGCATTAGAGACATAATACATACTACTGACCTAAAGTGTTCTCTTTCATGAAATTACAGTACAAAAATGTACAAAACATGAAGATTTGAGTTTGCTTTTTTCAGTTTTCCAACTCTGAGTTTATATGAAATGGTAAAAGTGTCTTTCACACATTAATGAAACACAACAGTCCTGCTTGCCTTCACTTTTGAATTAAAAATTAAAATCCACAGCTATAATGCACAACTATTCATTAAATTCCATTTGAGCAAAGATCACAATGCACACCTTAGTTCTTGCTTTAGAATAAAAAGTGTACAGGTAGATCAGTAATACATTTATTAACTTGGAAAACTCATACACACTATATTGTATTGATAAGCAACATTAAAAAGTATTTTCTCAGCTACATATATAATATTAAAGAAAAATATTTTTGTTGAATTAAGATTTACAAAAATTTGACCAGATTAATTTAAAGATCTTTACTCCTAAAGTTAAAAGTTGTCTAAATTTCAGACATTACTCAGAATGATATATTAAAGTCCATCTTATACATCACCAGCAATATAAAGATGGATTTTTGGCAAATCATTTTACATAATATTAAACAGCAGAATTAATATTTTAAAGCTGAACACTACTTTACAGAGTTCATGCAAACCAGAAAGCTACTGATGAACAGGAACTGTTGTCTATGATTATGAAATACTGTAGAGGAAGCTTGATTCAAAATTATATATTTGCACCTACTGTAGAATCTCATTGGCATAGAAAGATTCTTTGAAATTATAAGTGAAAGCATAATTGTAGTTCTCCGTGGGTATCTCTGCAACATGATTGTCAAACTAAATTTAAAAAAAGCAATGAACATTCATGTTAAATGCAAAAATATAATATTCAGAATTATTCTACAATTATTCACAATAATGCTACATGAGGTACATGTCTAACAGACAGGAAGATGTTCTGATTACTCAGTAGCGTATTGTACAAGCCTATATATTTATGTTTCTGATATTATTATGAAAGATTAAATTAATTTTAGGGAAAATATTTAATTTCCCAAATACTTTGGAAATATGAGCGCAAATCTATAAATTGTTCTGTTTTGTACCATAAAAAGCATAAAAGTAGTGCAACTGTAGTGCTCCCAAGAGCCCCACTTGGCTTTAGAAAGAATCTCCTAAAATTACAGTGCTGCTTATTTCTAAAGTAAAAACTAAAATGCTACCATTTACCCTCTAAAGTCTTAAACTCTATGCAAGTTTGCAACCCCAGACTGAATGTCCCTTTCAGACCTATATTAATGCAATAAAATTAAACTTTTCAATGTTTGACAATACTGTATATTGAAGCAAACATTAATCGATGTCTACAAAAATACCCCCAAAAAACAGTAAAATCATTGCTTATCTTCTATAGAAGCACAACGAAGAATTTTATCAATTAAAATCTCTCCCCTTAAAAAAAAGAAAACCGCATATTCTAATTATCTGATACTTTCTGCACTGCTCAATTTACACGATTGTGGTGCATGGATAAACAAACCCACACATAAAATCAATGTTAAATGTTGCCCTCTTGTGGAGAAAGAAATAACTAACAGTTTGCAGTGCGTGGAGTACACGTAAATTTGATACTGTCTCAAAATGAAACCACTTGCCGTAAGTATCGATACATGCAGTTAAATCTAGGTTGTGATATTTCAAAATTAAACAAGGTTAAAAAACAATTTCACGAATTGAAATACGAAGCAGTTTTGACTGCAAAAGTTTTCCTTTCTTTTTTACACCATGAAATCAGCAGTATTCAAAATCTACTAGATCAGGAGGTATTCCAAACCTACCGCTATTGCTTTTTGTACCCGAATCTGAAGACTTTTAATATCCTCCAACAAGCTCATACTGTATGTACTGTATATTCATAAATATGTGGAATTGAATTTTTACAAAATATTATATACCCAATAATAACGATCCAGTGTCATTTACCTTACCTTTGATATTTAGTCACAAATTTTATATTTTTAGCACCCTTTATTTGATTTCAGAGGTTTTATTAAGAAGGCTATACCAGACGCATAATCACTATACATTGATTTAACATTACCTTTACAATTAAATTTTCACTGAAATTACAGAATAAATATATGCACATTTTTTTTCAAATCTTTGTGAGAGAGAAAACATTAAAAGTGCTTCCTACAAAGCTGTTAGTGATAATATCCAGAAGCTTTTAAGAAAGTGCGTTGGCCTCCATAAAATCTTGAGCGTCATATTATATTCACAAATGATGATCCTTAGGTGCGTCCTTGATACATAGCTCATGTGTCCTTGAATATATAAAATTAAATAGAACACTGAACAGTAATGCGTTGCAGTATCTCCATTATTAAGTGAATGATCTTTTGAGCGATACCCACACCAGCAGTTGAACACATGCGGCAAACTGCATTAATCTACAAACTGTGCCTTGGGCAATTCTACATATAACACAGCCACACAGACATCATATTTCTCGCACGTTCAGGTACGAGTGATGTCTTCCCACTGAAAGAAGGCTTCATCTAGTATTTAGAAGTAAGAGCTCCCCGTGCCCGCGTCGACACAAACAAATCTGTTCAGTATAAAAATAATGATTGACAACATTGCTGGCTACTCTGTAAAAAGGCACTTCATTGAATATCTGAGTATGGCCTTTCCTCCAAAACAACTTGGGGAAAATATTTCTTATCTTTTAATATTTAGTTATCATCATGCTGCTTTTTGGGCTATGAAAAAAAAAGGTTTTCTCTGTAGTTAGAATCGATATGTTGATTTCTCCAGGACTTCGAGGTAATCCGGCTTGGTTTGGAGTTTGGCCCTTAACTCGAGGTATTCGCTTTGGGTTTGGTCAGGCAATCCTTTTCCCGTCGTGAAAAGCAGAGTTTCTTTCAGTCTGGCGTCTTGCTGTAAATCGGGATATTGCATGCCTGGGGGGTGTGCGTGCAAGTCCTTTAACTTGGGCACTGTGCCGTACAGACAGTCCACAAACCCCACTGTGGGCGCGGGTCTCTCCCTGTCTGTAACAGTGGGACACAGAACGCCATTTTCATGAAAACCGCCCATTTCCCCTGACTGGTTGATGGCAACTATAGTGTTGAGCTTGGAAGTGGACAATGCCATAGTCCATTCCTTCTCCTTCTCTATTAAAGTCCTATAGTTTGTGTTGTTTTCTTTAGTCTCGGCAAACTGCTCTTCAATTTCTCCCTCGCGCGGTTTGTAAATGGGATTGTTGCACATCTGTGTCACGGGATGGGGAATATAATCATACACATGGCCGGGAGCTTTTTCCGGCGAGACGTTTTGCCGGTCCTCAAACATCCTACACTGCATCTGAATGCCCGTCAGGTCTACTTCTTGCCTTTTCCTGAAAGGCAGTTTCTTGCGCCTCCTTAACACGAAAGCAAAAAGTCCAGCAGCAACGAAAACGGCCGAGATAAATAAGATTAAAAGACTGAGAATGAGCACAGACAGAGGAATAGCGCCCCTTGTCGGAGAGAACCCTAAACCAGAATTACTCGTTGAAATCATGTCCTCTGGCAGAGCCGGTGATGGTGCTGAGTACTTTAGCTCTGGGCACAGGAGTTCTGCGTCTAGGGACCTCAGATCCTTCCCAAACACGAACTCGGGGGTTTTACAGATTACCTCCCCTACCACTATAACAGAACTGAGCTTTTCCATCCATAGCTTGAGAGGTATTATGTCACACGTGCAGTCCCAGGGATTCTGGTGCAGGTCAATCTGCACGATGGAGTTAAGGTGCTCAAGAACCCCGCTCACGGGCAAATAGAGAAAGTAGTTATTTCTGAGATTCAGCCTCGCAAGCGAAGTGCCCGCAAAAGCGTCAGCAGGCAGCGTTCTGAGCAGGTTGTCATTGAGAAACACCAGCTGCAAACTGGGCATTAAACTAAACGCAGCGGGCTGGATTTCTCTGATCACGTTATATTCAAAGTACAAATACCGTAAAGACTGCAGCCCTCTAAACATACCAGGGCTGAGTTTCTCAATATCGTTCCCATTTAAGTACAGGCTTTTCAAATTGGGAAGATTAATGAAAGCCCCTTCTTGGACATAAGAAATCCTGTTGTTACCCAGATGCAGTAAATCCAAACTCGAGAAGTTCCAGAAGTCGGACCTATATATTTTCTGTATCAGATTTCCACTTAAGTAAAGCTTCTTTGCGTTAAGCGGTCTGGGAAGGAGTTCTGATATGTTATGAAACCCCTTTTCTTTGCAATTGACCGTCAATCCTAAATCATTGATGTGTAAATTGCACATACATCCAGTAGGACAAATGATCGGTATAGGCGGTCTTGTCTGGTACGGTTCTATGGGAGGCAGATTTTTACCAGGGTAAATGGTGCGTGGAGTGGGTGGCATCTTCGGAAGTCTTGGCCTTTTAGTTGGCCTGGACTGCTTATCCGGTGTCTTATATTCGACTGAGGAGGCAGTGTTATGGTAGGAGGAGAGCATCGACGACGGCTTTGTGGGCCACGTATTCTCATTATTAAACGGCAAACGGGGAATTCCCAAACTAGCTTCCACCTCTGCGTCAGACAGCAAGGGGCACAGCTCACTCCTTTTAATTTCCCTCAGATCTTTGCCATGGAAATGGAACGGGGATTCGCACGTTATTTCGCCAACTAGAGCAGTGTAAGGAATTCTCTCCAGCCAGGTTTTTAACTGCACAATGTCACAGATACAGTTCCAAGGATTTTCCTCCAGCTGAATCTCCATTAGACTCCTGCCGATATATTCCAACGTGCCCCTGTAAGGCAGATGTTTTAATCTGTTTCCCCTCAGGTCAAGGTGTGTTAAAGACACGGACCTGAACAGAAAGTTCGGCAGCAAAGGGATCAAATTGTCATTCAGAATAAGTACCCTCAGTTTATTCAGGTTTCTAAATGCTCCACTTTCAATCCGTTTGATGACGTTGTAATCAGCCTGCAGGTATTCCAGACTCTCAAGTCCCATAAAAGTGTCATTTCTAAACACTTCCAGCTTGTTTTCGTGTAAATACAGTCGTTTTAAAGCGCTTAAGCCGTTAAACGCACCTGCGTGGATGTCCTGCAGCGCGTTGTTTCCCAAGTTAATTGACACGGCATTGTTCAGATGCAGAAAACTGTTAAAATACAGCTTTCGCATGGAGTTTCTTTGCAGGTAAAGTTTGAATGGCCTCGTCCATGACTGTGAAATCTGGCTAATATTTGTAAATCCTTTGCTGTCGCAATGTATGTGGAAAAGACTTTCCTTAACTTCACAGTAGCAGGGGTCAAAACAAGGCTCATCTATTTCCTCTGAGTCCTCCAGCAAGGGGATTGGTGTAGTCCATCCTAAAGCTATTGTGCTTAATAGAGTTATCCACAGCATCCTTCTTTGTAGACCGGATGAAGTTATAAATGAAAGCCAGTTCACAGCACTGTAAAACACAGAAGAGTTAAACAGCATTCAGTTCAGTTATCGGGGCTTCTTATTCGTTGCAGTTTAACTTGTACTTGATAATAGCGACGATGACAATAATAACAAGGTTTATATAATATACCCAAGTTGAACTTAAACGTTCGATATAAGCCGTCATCTTGCTATAATAATAAGCATATGTGGGTTTTATTTATCCGTTGGTATTTTTCAGACAATGTTCGGTTATGCAGCTGGACGGTGTCAGTGGTTTCCTTGAGCCATTATGCTACCCCTCTTTGTAAAAAAAAACAGGAGAGAGATACATCTGACTGTAGCTTACAAATACAACATTTCAGATTAAAAAAAAAACATTGTATAAGACGCTTGATAACAATGTTTATCTGCTGTAATTTAATAATTTACAGCCAGCATTTCTGTGCATATTAAAACGTTTCCGTTACTGTATTACATTATGTACAATTCGCCCTCCGGGAACCTGACTTGGTGAGTGCTAGTGTTTTAAAACGCAAATGCCAAATGCATTCCAGGGGGTTATTGCGTCTAGGCAATTTGATATCTACATGAAATGGTTGCATTTCGTATCTTAAATAAACTTAATTAGCGCAGATTGCAAATTCTATGCTATCAGCAAATCTGAGGAGAAACTAAAAGCCAAATGATGCTGAGTCTGATAGGGACAGTGATTTAAAGGACTGGTAATGCCCCGCATTGATGTTTGAATATAGGTCTACTTGATTATCAATAGGTTTGACATAGGATTGTCAGCCTCACCGAGGAGTCAGCAGGTATTAAACGAATGAAAAGCATTTTCGAGTTGGACTCAACCCGTCAGTGGTTAAAAGTGACAGAAAATTTAAATGCAAAGCATACTTTGCGTAACTGTCCTGGTCTATTCTATTACTGCTGCAGGCTGAAACACGGAACGAAAATAAATAAATTCCCACACTTTGCCATCCGTTATTTTCAAGAAGTCGATCAATAGAACAAATACCTACTCGTTTTTGCTGGGGTCTAACTTTACATCGCCTCTGAGAAATAAGAAGAATCGGGTGGTCCCAACTAGCTTCAGATTGATTCCTGCAAAGGAATGAAAAACGACCTACATGATAATATGAGGGGGAAAAAGGCATTTACATTGGAAGAGTACAGAAGAATGATCAAGTACCCCCAAACAAGTCAAAACAGCCCTAAGGAGACATTTTATGGGTCAAGTTAAATACGTTAAAGACATTTTATTACAGGCTATTATTTGAATAATTATCAATATTGCAGTTTTTCATTATCACATAAGGCTGAATAAATATATACATAAGCTACATTCTTGAGAAAACCAGTTTCATTTTCTGGGTTTTTCTCTCACAATTTAAACTATGCAGCAAATGAAGCAAATCCGCTCTACTCACCTTTTGCGGTGGAATTTTTGACCGTCTGAAAAAGACTAGAGTTTAAAGATTGTTGGATCTCTCTCTCCCTCTCCTTTCCCTCTCCCTCTCTCTCTACTCCTGCTGTGGCTGAGGCAAAGGGGGAAAAAAAACCGAAGACGTGATGTGAATGTAATGAAGCCTTTTTTCTATATGGTTGCTTAGAATGCAGGTCTGCTACGAAGCACGCTCAATGGAGTAACAGGAGAATCTGCTGCTTAGAGCCCTGATGCTGCCTTTTCAGTGCACCAACACATCACTTGGATGCTGGATCACAACGAAGAATCGTTTTCCCCAGATCAGGTCTTTTTAGACGTCATGGAAATGAGCTTGAAGAAAAGGGAGCAGAACTGGTGGGGGCGGGGACGCGCTTGGCACTGCATCGGGGACGCGCATCAGGGCGCTTTCTCATCTGGTCTGTTTTTATTATTTTTTTTTTAGATCTGTCTTGGATGATCAGAACTGTATATCAGAAGCGACACGCAATCCTCATTCTCTTTACGCGACAGAACCTGTTTAAACACACACATATATATATGTGTGTGTGAGAGAGAGGTTCAAATTGCAAGGAACGGCGAGTCACTAGTCACAGCCCCGTTTGATGTTTTTTAAAATGTTCATTTTTTACCTCGATTTACATAAAGCGGTCTCAGTAAAGGTTCGTGTGACGTTTTTTTTTTTTTAGCGAGCACAGCCGATGAAAACCTTAAGGTATGTTTTTTTTTTTCTAACACTTGGTTTTGGAGAGAAGCCATGACAACATCCCCTTTAACAACTTTTGCCGGAGGAAAGCTACTGTATCTTGCTTCGACCTCCCCGCAGTAAGGTTTGAAGAAAAGCTTCTCTGTTTTCTCTGTATGTAACACTCATCTGTATTTAGCCTCATCTCTTCTCCCTGCCATAATAAGACACCAGAAATCATGGGAAGGGGAATCGGAAACACTTGAGTAGTTGGGCATTCTTTTCATTCTGCTGTTACATAGATAAATCACATTTTAACGTCTTTTGTGGTTTTACAGATAACATACTGTACAGTATATCAACCAGAGGACGAGTACGATAATTGCATAATTAACAACTTTTAAAGATACGATTTTATTCAATGAGCTTATTTTAAAGCTGTTAATAAAACAAAAACTCAGGAGAATGAAAAATGGATGTATGCAGTGATACGGGAAAGATGAGGGTTATTATAAAATTAGCTGGTTATTTTCAGCTTAATGTCAAACTTTTTTCCCCCATTGAAATAGTCACGACGGTGGGCTTTGGTTTAATAAAATCTGGGGGAAAAATCACAGTGAAATGGATTACAGATTGTTTTTACAAATTATCCGAACATGTTTAATAAAATACTGTATATTATTAATAAGATGAAGATGTTATAAGAAGTCACCTAGCTAAAGAATAATTCTAGAAGATAAAGAAGTCAGTTTGTTTAAAGTAATGGATAATAATAATAATAATAATAATAATAATAATAATAATAAATTCCACTGTCCTCTCATACTAAAGGTGTTTTTACTTATAACTTTAGCATGCTGTAAATCGTTTCTCGGCGTGTAAAAGACAGTCTGACAAATACAAGTTATGTTCACACAACACACGTTTTCCGGGATTCTAACCTTTCAGAAGGTTGTACAACTAATTTTCGTATGATGCACGATGCTCTCACGTCTGTCACGTGTAGAGAGGGTTGACTGTACTCTCCCGTTAACTCCAGCCGCTCTCGATCGAGATTACAGCTATTGGCTTTCAAAAAGACATTCTCGTTTTGATTACCATGTACTGTACAACACTGCAGGTATTAACGCGTCTTTGGAACCTTGTCTAACATTATAATAATAATAATAATAATAATAACAACAACAACAACAACAACAACAACAAAATGTTATAATTTTTATTAATGATTTTATCCCAAAGAGCTAAGCGTCTGGCAGTCAATCAGTAGAATTAACGCTATGGTATTGTATGTAATTTATTTCTTTCATACACCGAGTCACGACTGAGAAGGATTATTTTTGTGTGTTTTTTTTTTTACTGGCTTTGCAAAGGTTGGTAAAACACTGTTGATAAAGTTATGTATGACGGAGGATACTGTGAGTGCGAAATGGTAATAACGAAGTCTGCCCACTGTCAAGGTACCTGACATTGCAGGTACCTGGTAGATGGCCTTCGAAACCACTCAAGGTGGTTATATTTTCAATTTACCAGAAGATGAGGTCTCCTCTGCTCAAACAGATATAAAGTACACATGCTGAGATGGAACAGACCAGGAGTATATCTATTTTGAGCGCTCTGCTCTAACATCTGGGTTGTTATATTCTGTTTGTGTCGAAAGAAACCATACTATTCTAAAAAGCATAGAAATGTTCTAAAATGGTGAGAATGTACAGTGTGCATGCATATTCTGTCATCAGCTTTGGGAAATGCATTTTGATTACAATGCTCCAGAAACTTTTTTCCACCATTTTTAATACACCGGCATGAAAAAAATGCAAGAATCACACTTGCTGAATTTATAACTTATTTTAGACACATACAATAATATTGGATATATATTTTGTCTATACTGTAATGTACGTCATGACACTGGAACAGTAAAACAAAGAAATATATTACATTCAACTTGCATCAACCTTTACCAATAGAGTTGGGTCTATTATTTCCATGATACAAGTGTGCACTCGTCTAATTTGAGTGAGTCATGGAATCTCAGATTTTTCATTCCAGCCACAACATCAGTGAGACAATTCAGGCCACTTCACCTTTTATTTAATCAGTATTAGACCTTTACCATTCAAACCGTAGAGAGCTGTGAGCATACTTTACTGTATTTCTAAAACTGCAGTAATCTTGCACTTCTGAACTTTCTCTGAAGGCGAAACAAACTGTTTACAGTTGGTCTTTTTAGACCCCTGAAAAAAATAAAGCAACGTGGCTTGTACAGTATGTAGTTACTTTATTTTCCATATTTTAAAAACTACTTAATCACTACTTCTGCTAGTGCTATCATTACTGCTAATAATATAAATAACTTTACTGAAGATGCAGCTGAAGAGGTTTTACTCATAGGTTAGACATATTGTGAATATATTTAAAGTACCTTGAAGATATGACACAGCATTTCTAAAGGAATTCCATAGCAGTCAGATTGGTGTCTGAGAGGAAATAGATTAACCTATTTTGCTTCTGAGAATGGTATCTTAAATATAATGTGATACCTTACCAGGGCTTTTAGTAATCTGGAAAGCAAAGAAGCACGCTAGGCTGATCGGAATATCATTTTTTCTCTCCATCTGAATGGTTCAGTTGATAGCAGGTGGGAAATTTACTCCATACCTTCACAGAACACTCTGCATAGTTGCAAATTGACAGGCACAATGTTTCACATTCACAATACAGCTCAGCATCAGATACTGTAAGTGAAAGCTTACCCATCTGAACATAGTGATTTTTTTCTTAATGTACACTGTCACGTAAAAAGAAAAGATCATTGTGCTCTACATACCTCCAAGCATCACTAAACCAATAAAAAATAAATAATTACTTATGACAACTGTTGTTGTTACACTAATTCTTGCACTAAGGCTCTTCATTTAGAGCATTACATAATAAGCACTTGTATAAAAATGGGCTTGAATCGGCTCTTCTGTGTTACATGTGACACCTCTTTCCAAAGATACATTCACCTGCACCAGGCAGTGCACAAGCCTTTTCTTTGCATGTTGTTAAGGATACTGCACTGGAAAAGCAATAGGTGTGAAAAAGCAGGTAGATTTTCTGCTTGTGAATGTGAAAAACAAGTGTGAAGACTTTGAGTCTGGTAGGCATCGTTTTTAGCATTGGCAACTGAATGTATTTCAGGGAGTTTCCTATTAAATTGTAATGAAAAACTCAATCAGTAGATTAACTGTGAATGTGTGAAATTTATGGTCTAGTGGATCTTATTAAACAGGGAACATATTCCTGTCATCACAAAAGATTACAAATTAAACAGCACCTCACAGTTTATTTTTTTAGATGCTGTTAATTACGTTAACATTTACTGTATACAAATAGGAAACAATACAATTAATGTTGAGATTAGAATTTTGCTCTTCTATTGCAAAATTACACAAAAAATAACACAGAAGTTACATTATAGAGCCATTATTCAGAATATAGATTAACTAAATGGAGGAGATTAATCATTTATGATATAGGACATTCAGATCTTCATTTTTTAATTTTTAAACAACTACTCAGAGATTCTGAATGGTCACTAAGAAAAAACACAAATGAAAGCATAATGCTACACAAGGATTATTCCCTAAGAAACTAATTCCCTGGTACACTGCATTAAACTACAGTAGGTTAGGCAACACACTAAAAGAACGCACAGATACAGGCTGCCAGGCAAAATGTGTATTTATGGTCATATTCTCAAAAAATATCTAAGAAACTACAATACATTACCTACATAAGTTGATCAATTAAAAGTTGATCCATTTACATGACAAAACCTGCATCATGAAGCAATGACATGTGGTGCGTGCCCAATTTGGACCAAAATGGAATATCTACCCATAGACAACAACAGTAAACACCAGAGGGCACTAACATCACATGGAGGAGAGTTTGCTCTTGGGGTATAAAATTGCCAATAGGTGCACAAATGCAGTGCCCTATTGGTATACATTTTTTTTTGTGTAGGGGAATACATTCATCATTGTATCATTTGTCTATGTACCAAATATCACTGTTCCAGGGTGCACAGTATTCACAATATAGGTAAATAAAACAAAATAGGTAACTTCCTAAGGAACTGTTCATGTGTTTCTGGTAACTTATCAATAATAAAAATATAATATAATAAAAGTAGTTCAGGTGAGTAGCTGCGTCAGCATGCGTAGGCTGCAAAGGAACAAGTAATACTGTAGGTTTGTTCAATGCTGAAAAGAGAAGAAAGAAAACAACGTTTCAGCCGTGGAGCCTTCTTTAGGCTTCAGGTCTAAAATAAAAAAACATCTTGCAGAGTTAACCCCAGCAAGCTGCAGGCCTTTCGCTGTCACCATCCATTATCACAAAATCACTTATCCTGGTAAGGGTCACAGCAAGCCAGGGCAATGGACAGGTCACTGCAGCAGTGTAGGACAGTGGTGAGGAATCTAAACATGTACAGTAGCTGGAAGGTTGTGGGCTCAAATTCCAGGTGAGATACTGGTATTGTAACCTAGAGTAAGGAACTTCACCCAGTTTGCTCCAGCTGTATAAATGGGTACAAATGTACAAATTAAGTTGCCTTAAATAAAAACATCTTTCAAATAAATTAATAATTAATTACAGGATGCTAGGCAGGACTGAGAGTGGGGAACTGGGAGGCAGCTGTGCTCTTCGGCATGACAACTGGTAGCCCAGTTTAAAGTGGTTTGTAAAATAACAAAGTGTTGTTTTGCAGTTATCATCAACAAAAGTCACTGGGTATTTCTGTACCCTCACCTCCATATACTGTACATCTCCTCTTTTTAATAAATCCACCAGTTTTGGAAACATTTTTTTAAACATTTTTTTGCATTTTTGTCCCTTTTAAATCATAACCAAAATGTAATTCAAATCTCAAATGCTGCAGGAAAAACAAACTTTTGCAATTCTGTTCCATTTCTCAGCCATGCAGGGAAAACACGTGGGTTCAATCTGTCCTACTGTATGTACTGTAAAAGATTCATTTTGTAAGGCAGTGATTCATCACAGGATTTGATTGCAAATATACAATATTTTCAGAAGTCCATGATGCATCTGTTTTTTTTTTTATTTCAATGATAGATCCTTTAAGTTATGTAACATGCGTTAATGGGTAATGGGTTTAAAAACAACATTTAACTTACCTGAAAAAAGGCTGCTGCTTAATTGCTTCTGTTTAAAGGTATGTTTTTTCCAAAAGAACATATGATTGAACAAACATGAGTT